GAGCTAAGGTCGAGATCACAGAGTAGGTAAATGGGCTTTCCCAACTTGCAGATATCCAGCTGTTCTGTCCTCCAACTCCATCTCTGCAGCTAAACAACAGTTTATAAAAGCATTTCTTCTTTCTTTGCCATTTTTTTTAAGCCATTAAGGAAAATACATATATTTAAGGTAAAGCACTGTGACTATTACTCAGTGCCATACGTATCATGCAGGCTGTACAAACTTGGATTGTGTTGTTTTCTGAATCAAGTGCATTACATCTGGGATGCAGAAGGGCTTTATTCACAATTTCTGGGGAAACAAAAAAAAATGCCATGGTTCCTTTAACTTTGAAAGACAGTTTCCAATGGACAATTACTCTCCATGATAATTTTTTTTTTTTTTTCTCTCTGGTGGAGTTCTGTTAGATGAAAAAGCAATAGGCATTGGAAATCTTTCTCCATGTAAATACTAAAGGACAAGAGCAGGTCACTTTTTGGCCTTTAGTTACCAAGTTATCTGTACTGAACTTTGCTGGTATTCTGTTGTAAGGAAGTTAATTTGTCCTAATCTCCAAGAGGTTATTGTCCCTCTTCTCCTGAAACTTTGCCTGCTTTTATTTTGGGGGGCACAGCAGAGTTGGCAGTGCTCATAGACTTGTCAGTGCTTTGTGCAGATGGCAATGCCATGTTCCTGATCTTCAATGTTGCCAACCTAAGTGAGGGAAATAGCCTGGTCAACTCGTCAGCTGCTGCTCCAGGAACTTATGTTATTGAAATTAGAGGAATAAACTGTGATCCAAGGTCATCAGACAATAGCTAAGAACAAATAGATCTCACTGCTTGACCTTGCTGTATTTGAGTCAGGACAAATAAAACAATCCCGGTACCTCTAAATTTCAGGTTATGGAGGATGCATAAGGAACTTTCTGAAAGCCCACTTTAAAGCAAAAACAATAGGAAAAAAAATTAAGCTAGAAGAGTACAGAAATAGTAAGGCAGATGTATCAGTATAACCCCTCCCAAGCCCCAAGGAGTGGAATGGGTTGGCTCTGGTACCTCTCAGTCCCTCCGACATTGACTCCCAGAACAGTCGTGAAGAAGCTCCTACATGCAGAGCTGTGTCTGGCTCTCAGCTGCTGCCCCTGAGCCTTGCCCTGGGACTGCTGCTTAAAGGAAGCCTGAGAGTGAGCACAAAGCTCTGGGTTTTGGGACTGAGCTGGTAGACTTAAAATCTTGAGTCTACTTGACAAGAAAACACAGTGGTCCTTCCTTTGGTGTTTCAAAGTCTCATTGTCAGAGAAGTAGAGGTTTTCTTCTTATAAACTGGACTGTTACTGTGGAAAGGTCTCCTAATTTTCCATTTCTCCAGTGAGATCTATCATGCATCTCCTAGCTGTGACTGACTAGTTTAATATTCTCTTTCTTTTGCCACTTATTATTCCTGTACAGCTGCTTATTATTACAAACTATTTGTTCAACTTTGCAGGCGATTATAAGAACAAATAGCCTAGTGATGTATTGACATTGTGTATGTCTTTGACAATACCCCAACACCCCCTTCCCAAAGACACTGCTCTTCCAGACGAGAAAACAAGGACAGTGTGACTAACTGACATGTATTTGCAGAACTCAAACATTTCCTTACTCACTCAGCCCCAGATGTTCTTTTCCCAGGCCTCATATTCAAAACTTCATTAGAAATTTGAAAGAAATGCTTTACTGTGGCTGCTGGCTTGGCTGCTTTTCAGGTTTAGGCAGAATTTCTTATATTCACAGGCCCTTTTTCCTTTGATTTTTTTTTTCTTTTTTTTTTTTTTTTTTTTTTTTTTTTTTTTTTTTTTTTTTTTTTTTTTTTTTTTTTTTTTTTTTTTTTTTTTTTTTTGTATACTTCTCCAGAAACTTGTATTATCATCTTTAGCAGTGCAGGAAAATATCCACATGAGCATAATATTTTAGAGCTTCTTTGTAGCGTGTTAATCTCTGAGACTAACTAAAAAAAAAACCTCTTGGTCCCAGTCTCATTTTTAATAGGATAGTAAACTAAGAGGATACATGAGGATTATTCTAATCTCACCCTCGAGCTCTCTCCAGCACTACTGCCTATCTGGGACCCATTATTGAACTGCCTTTTCCAGTGCTCTAGAAAAGAGGCACTTATCTTGATTTAACAAGTAATGATAGCAAAAGCCTGAGCTGTCATGCTTTAGAAAGAATGGATTAGCTAATTGATTGTGAAGAAAAGAAACATTAGGTTGGAGCTAAACACCCTTTGGGGTGCTGTCCTTTCCTTGCTTTCTTCTTTAGTCCCTTGAGAATATGTTTCTACACTGGGGAGGGGGGAGGAGGCGGTTTGTGTGTGTGTATTCAACACAAACAACTCTTACAAAGCACATGCAAGACACTGCTAACCATGAGTTGTTTCGTCATTTTGCAGCTTTCCTGGAGCAGTCCATTCTATGTGCTTTGGAAGAGCAATGGAGCTGGTAAAGGGGCTGGAGCACAAGTCTTACCAGAAGTAGCTGAGGGAACTGTGTTTGTTTAGTCTGGAGAAAAGGAGGCTCAGGGGGTAGCTATCACTTGTGTTACAACTACCTGAAAGGACATTGTAGGAAGTTGGGAGTCAGTCTCTTCTCCCATGTAATAAGTATGTGTGTGAGGGCATGACTTTGACCTCGGATATCGCTGTAGCCAATGCAGAGTCGTACGTCCCTTCCCTCAACCCTTAACCATGGATAAGGAACTGAGGGAGGGCAGACAGGATTCAGTTGCACAGCAAGACAGAGTAAAGCTGAGACTCAAGTGCAGGTCTTATCTGTATGTATAGTTTACTGCCTGATATTTCCTTCTCCCTCTCATACTGAAAACAGCTACATTTTTGCAGTCAGACTCTAGTGTTGAATGTCTTTAGACTATTTCCAAAAGGCATTACAGACTCCCCCAAGCAGATAAATTACTGCTGTCAACAGCATAATAATAGTCACACACATGGTTTCTTTCTCCTTTCCTCTCCTCCACTCCCCATGATAAAATTTCTAAAATATTGTACACTGGACAGAAGGTGAACAGACACTGGGTTAGTTAAAAACATACTTCTCTTTATTTGAAAGTTTTCTATCCACATATAAAAGGCAGTTGATACATTGCATAGTATACTTTTTTTTTAAGTATGCTTATTATCAAATGTGTCTGAGAAAAGGGATGGTTACCGGCTCTAACTTCCCACAACAAACAGTGAAGTTAATGGAATAATAAATTAAAGTAGTAGTAGTCAACATTACATATAAAACAAATGTTAACAGATACAAATATAACACGAATGATGACTGATCCAGTTTCCCTTCTCAGGAGTTCAGTGTCTTATTAGAGTGGTTATACCTAAGCGGAGTTTTTATTAAAATGCAGTGGTGCTCTGAAGCTTCAAAACACAAAAGCCACACGGGTTTTTTTAATTGAATGGGAATGTCTTCAAGAAACCTTGCTAGTGGGAATGAGGGTGCTGTTTTCCTACCCCTGTGATTGTTGTTTAACATCCCTGTTGCTGAGCCCTTGCTCCTGCAAGGAGGCAGACTTCACGCTCCAGCTGTGGCTGATCCTGGCTCTAAGGCACTTCTAGGGCCTACCACCTATTTACATTGTAGGCACTAAATTAGTCAAAGGACAAAACTCCGCATACTCTGCAGTGTGTGAGGGAGGAGTGTCATGGAATCTTAGTGTACTGGCCATCATCTCTGGGACTGTCCTCATTGTCCTATATAAATGCTCATTGCTGGAAACTCAGTACCTGTGCCTTCTGTGGTATTAACCCACAAGGAACTTCTGTGGGTCTTAAAGAAACAGTTTTAAGAGCTCTGTCTTGTCAGTGTGCTCTCTTTCCTGTTAGCTGAACTCATGTGGGTTTCCATGAGTGCTTTCTGGCAGCTGGGGTTTCCCACTGAGCTGGTCCTGTGCACGGGCTGATTGTCAGGGTGCTGCAGGCTGCCACCCGTGCTTGTTGGGCTGCCTTGAGCTGGAGACAAACACCTTGCTCGTCTGTTCAGGGTTGCTTCAGAAAGTGTCAAAGCTACTAGGGGGAGGTAGGTGTTGAACAGGGACTTAGAGGAAGAAACGTGTCAGGGCAGCAGCAGAGCAGCAAGAGACCTCCATTTGAAACAGGAGGGGAACCCAGTAGCAGAGTCCACGCAAGCTGAAGATCCAAGAGTCTTTACAGCAACGTGGATGCTGGCCCATTTACTACACAAGAAGTCAGGTCTGAATTACAGGGTTGTAATTAGACCCAGAGGATCCTATGACCAGAGAAACCACCCGAGCTCTGCTCCCCTGGTTTGACAACTGTATGCTCCTGCAGGCAATTATAATCCTGTTGTATGTCTCAGCTGCCTGGCACTTTTTTTCTTCATTCCTTATGTACGTAACATTGAGGTAGAAGTTTCAACTAATATTTAAGCACACACAAGAATGCACACAATCTTACTGGGCAAGTAGTACAGTGACCTTCGGAATCCGCTAAAAACCTTCACAATGTGACTATAAAATGAGTAATTGAAGTAGCAGAGAAAAGGAATTCTAAACGTGTCAGAAAAACAGTATCAAAAAAAGTACAGCACTAAGTTGCAAGACATTTTCTTCATCTATTGGATTTAAAACAATTCATTGGTGGTTTTTTTTTTTTTTTAAATTTTCCCTCTGGAACGAAGGACAGAAACAGAATTTTTTATGACACTGAAATATACTGGTATCAAAGTAAGGGTATACAATGAATTTTTTAAGGCATTAACTATTTTGAACAATGATCTAAATAGAGGTAATTTATAATGGTTGGCTTCAGTTGAGCATTGCTTTTATTTCCTATAAAAATACACGTTTAAAAATGTATATATAGAAGTGTCTTGCAAAAAAATCTCCATTCCTTCTTACATTTATAAGGAAGATCAAAGTAATAGTAGTAACCTTTACAAGGAGACTTAAATGTCTTATTGTTAATATAATATTTAAATGTAAGGAACACATATCAACATAGGCTTTTTTTTTTGCTTTACAACCCCTGTTAATACTAAAGCAAGTTTATACCTAAATAAAACTAGTTAAACTACTGCTATAGGGGCTGCTGTTAGTTACCTCCACTGTACTTAATACCACAGAGTAAATGAGATCCAAATTTCAGTTGAAAGAACTTGGTTAGCTTGAATTTCATCCTATTGATTTAATTATTGGCAGGAATGTGAAAATACATTCAGTGTAAGAAAGCTGTTTAAAGCCAAAGAGAAAAAAAAGTTCTTATTATTCTTACAGCTATTTTCCAAGAAATACTAGCTGTTCCAGCTTTAATGCTGCATTTTTAAATCAGGAAAAAAAAATCCATGGGAGAGATACTGTTTATGAGTCTTCAAGGAGAACATTTCACTGACATTAAAGGCAACTTTGCAGACTCACTTGAAATGTATCAATTTGTAATCTACACATTTACAGGAGCTGCTCTGCTCTGAAAGCTGTTTCCCAATCTGTGCCAAAACATGTGAGGCTGCCTAGCGTACTTCTGATGATAGACCTTCAGGCTCTATTTCTCCATAATTGATTTAGTTATTAGTTATGCAGAGGAGAGAAGAGATCCCTGAGGCTTAGTAAAACAGTATTCAGTTACTAAAAGCAGCCCTTTGTGAATTAATGTTATCCTACCAGCACTTTCTGCTCATTATTCCTTCAAGTCTTGTTTTCCTGGACACCAGCTGTCACAGAGGAAGTCTCCAGCCTTTTCTTCTGCCTCCTTGGCTGACTGAAGTTGCACAAGCACGGTCTGGAGTGTCTCCTTCACTACCTGGATCTCCCTCTGCAGAGACTGTGCAAGCTTTATTAAGGAATAATCTATAGGTGATTGGCAGTCCCTGTTCTCTTTCCAAGTTATTAAGTAAATTCTTGTTCTGCTGCTCTCGACAGATGGCCATGGCTATCTAATTGTAGCTTCAGCTTCTTCCAAATTGTTTGGATTAAACATTAATACATTTCTCACACTTGCTTTCAAAAGAAAAATCCAGGCAAGCTCAAGTTCTCAAATAGCATTATTTAGCACTTTAAAAAAGGGAGGGGATGGGGGATACTGTTTTCATGGGAAGGAAGGAGATAAAGAAATTTTACCATGGAGACAGCAGCACAAGCTGTGAGCTCGATGAGCTGTGAGCTGGGTGATTTTTAAGACAGAGACACAGACCTGGGTGGATCAGACCCCAGGTGAAGGTAACAGGGCAGTGGGAACAGTCTGAAACGTAAGCCAAGTGACTGCAGCTTGTGTGGCATTAGTGAGCTTAGCAGCGTGTGCTATGCGAGGCAGGGTGGGAATCTAGGTAAGAAGCAAAATGAGCTTATAGCAGAGAAAGTGTTTCTGCTCCACTTACTTACCTCCAGAAACCTTTAATGTTAACTCAATTATCAATATAATTGTGGTGCAGAACACACAAATATAAAGCTATATGAGATTCCACAGGCAATCCTTTGAACAAGTTGAAAAGCAGAGAGGGCAGTACCAAACTTGTACTGTTGTGCATTAGAAGGAAGAAGGCCACTTGAAAAGTATGAAATAATACAGTATAAAATGCTTAATTTGGTTAAGAAAGAGCTTTCTACATTTTATTTGCCTCTGTCTAGTTCAGGTTTCCTGTAATGCATTCAGGAAGAAACTGATGGCTAATGGCTCAATCTCTGAAAAATACCTTCTACTTCTCTCTTTCCCAGCTCCGCAATGACAGAGGGAAGATGTCAGGTGCTGGCAACTAGAATACAAGGGGTACATCCGTGAACAGACTGGCAGATGACACGAATGGAGATAGTAGCAACTGCTGACATGCACAAGCGTTTAAGTGGCTGGGCTTCCTAAGCAGCACAGGTTTTGTTCTATGACTAGCCTCTCCTGGGAACAAGCAGTTTGTATTATCAATATATTGGCCTTTCTGCTGATAATCTTACATCATCAAGGCTATTCATTGTTGAGAGTGCAAGGACTGGGTGTAGCTCAATGAGACGAGCCTTATTATCTCTTCCATAGCTTACACCATGTGGAGAGGGAAGCAAGCAGAGGCAAATTAGAGCCTACTGAAATGCTAAACCAATGACCAAGTCTCTGTGAACAAGGCCTAGAGTCCATCCTTACCACACTGAGGCCTTCTGTACAGGTATGGCTAAAGGGCAAGGACTCCAAAAGACTGAAATAATTTCATGGCACACTGCTGGAAAGGAAACTATTTCAGAACCTCACTTCAAGGGAAGTGAAACAGGATGACTGAAACAACTCGGTTTCAAAAATACAATGCACAGAAAAGATAATGCACAAGGACAGTCTTTATCCTTTACAGAGCTCATACACTATGAAATGTTGTTTTACTTGACCCTTGATGTCAATACAGTGTCAAGAAAAAAAGACAGCCTCAGGTTATGAGACTGTAAAAAGTAAGACACTCCTTTTGAAAAATTGCAACTAGAGTAGACTGGGGTAAAGTTACAAAAATCACTTCTATTTCAGGAAGTCATTACTATGCCTTTAAAAAGTGTTTTGGCTACTTTTGATTCTTTTACCAATTCCTCAAAATTTTATCTTTGTGCATTTACATGCATTTACTATGATGTTTTGCTCTTACTATTTGTGCATACCTCTAATTTCTAGGTAGTTCTGCTAATCTAAAGGTTTTCTGTCTCTGATTACAAATAACAGCAGTACACACAAAGCTTCTCCCATCCAAGAATCTCAAAGCAGCATACAAGGACAAATTAATTATGTGTTGCATCTTCTCTGAAGTAAGAGTTATTATCCTCTTATAAGTGGTCCTGGACTCTCCACCTCTCTGCAACTTAATCATGAGGCTCTGCTGAAAATCTAACTGGGAAAACAGAAATTCTTCAGCTTAAGAACACCGTGAAGTCTCTGAAGTTTAATTACTTCTAATGTGTAGCCTCTGACTACATGCTGATACTTGTAATATCCCAAGCAATTAAAAAATTCTTTTCAGGTTGAGAGAAAAAGCAAAATTGAAATGTTTCACTGTCAGTGGATGAAAATCTTGAAGGATGGAAAAAAACGATGAAGACAAGGAAAGAAACTCCTAACCAACAGAAGCTGGAGCAATAAAAAAGATGACTGGATACTGGATAACTACAGCAAGAACCAATAACCTCATAAATAATACCACAATTATCTGTAGACAAGTAACTGTCAAACAAGCCTTTATGGCTATGCAAAATACATGGCATATGGCTAAGCATGGAATCTCCATCCATATACAAAGTTTATATCTGGATAAACAGCTTCCCCCATTTTAAAACTTCAAATAACAGTTTTGCATGGGTCCATATGCAAAGGTGTTCTTAAAGCTTAAATCCTCTGCCCAGTGCTGCAATTATTGAGCCAATATCCAAGGAAGGAGTAAAACCAAGTTTCAACTAGGAATATATTCTGGTTCTGCTGTCTTCTTGTGAAAAACTGACAAAATCTCTCCCCTTTCTCATAAGCAGTAAATTAAAGTACTTGGGTACAACTTCACACAGACACAACCCATTTCAACAACACTGCAGCTCTAAACATTGTCTTCCACTAAGCTTTTCACCTACTTGACTTCTTCTCTTTGAAAAACTTGAGCACCATGAGAGAATCCATGATTTACAAGGAGATAAAAAGCAGATCTAAATACTTTAGAGACTTAATTTTTTGAAAAAATGGGCTCATCAAGGCAGCTCCTGCTCTCTCAGCACAGATGTGTAGAGAGACAAAAGGTAGATATTATGAATCAATTGCATTCCTATAGGAAAGATTAGCACCTAAGAGTATATGTTGTAAGACAAAAGACCTTAGAAGGATAATCAAGGACTACTGCTGAGATGAGGTAAGGGCCTATGGGATTTTGGAGAAAAACAGCAATTTTTGGACATCTGAAGAAGAAATTGTCTTGAAGAACAGAAATAACTGAGGAGGTTTTGTGGATTTTTAAAATTGGTTAATTGGTTTTGTTTCCAACAGCTAAAAGTTTCAGTGTCTGGAGACAGAAACTCTGCTAGATGTACCAGCACCTAACTGCACGTGTCTTTTCTAACCCCAGGCACCACTACATATGAAGTGGCCAGCCAGCTGGAAAGTTGCTCTGCAGAAAAGGACCTTAAGATCATGGGGGACAGAGCCTCCCAGGCTGGATTAAGAAAATGCTGCCAGCAGGTGTAGGGAGCTGATACTTTCACTATACTCAGCACCAGTGAGGTCCCACCTGGATGCTGTGGGCTCCCCAGTAAAAGACTGAGATGGATTCTCAATGTGACTCACCATGGGAAGGGCTCACCCTTTTGTCATCTAAAATAAGATCAAAGAGGGTATCATTGCCACCTCTCAGTCTTGTGGGATACCAAAATCTCTTACAAGTTCACCTAGGTTGAGATTCCTCAGTGAGGTACAGACAAGGCTAAATTCTACACTCCCGATTCTGTTGAAAACCTACTCTCTGGTGTAAAACAAGGCTTGTTATGAGTGCCTGCCATATGACACAGGTGAAAGGTTAGCAGAGTGACCTGCAGTGCTTAACGAACATTTAGGCACAAAATTCCATTTTCAAAACAGCCGATTAAAATGTCTGTTTTAGGGCAAGGAATGAAGATTGGTTTTATAATAATACTCCAGTCAGGTTTTCTTCCAATGAAGCCTTTTCCCGAGGACAAACTATTACATGCATTCAAATTGTCTATCAAAATGTAACTGCTAATTAAGAAGAAAAATGACTGTGAAATTGCAATATAGGCTCCATTTAATTTTAGTGGGAATTCCAGGCCTTTACTGTCAGTAGAGTAACACCTCTAATCAGCTCTGCAGACACCAGAATAAGTCACCTCTCATCCTTTGGTTTTTCCAATTAATGATGCGGACTGTTTTCATACACTCACTAATGATTAACCATAATTGAATGTTTTGTGGGTTTATTTGGTTATACTAAGTAGAATTTAGCAGATCTGTCATAGTGCTGCAGAGATCTCCAACAACCCTCCCCCCTGCCATTGTTTGATGCTTTTTATACAAAAGCACAGTTTAATGTTTGCTGTGAACAATTTCAATAATAAATTAGAATCGCCAGTGGGTCTGTGCCTATACTCAGGACCAAGAAATATCACTAGATTTCTTCTTTGTTCAGTTCATGTTGGCAATTATGACAAGCAGCATGGTTGATTTACGTGTGCTATGCCATCAAAACACGGAATGAAAAACAATGACATCTGGGTTTTTTCTTCTAATACAAACTTAATAATTAATCAAAGCTATGACACACACTAAACATGGGCAAATGGCTCAAGAGTATCATGAATTTATTTTTCTCAGTGGAGTCTCTGAAAGTCTTTTAATAATCAGACCACAGGACTAATTTACATCTGTGCAGCCCACAGATAGATTTTTGACCTAATAGTTTGCTACATTCATGTGTAAGGAAGTCTTTTGGGGGGATGATGGGGAGGGTGAAAATAACCAGTGAACAAGAGTTTGAAAAACTTATCCTGCTTTCGTTACAGTTTCAGATATTTAAGCTCGTGCTCTCAGAGTTCTACAGATTTTTAATGAAGACTGCATCATTTTCCACTACTGTGATAGGAAATTATTTAAAACCAAATAAACTACCATGCAAACAACAGATGTATCTATTAAGCATCCATATTTTATTGAGGCTAATTGTTTTATCTTATCTCAGTACTAGGTCCTGAAATATATTCAAGTTACCAATGAGTGAAAGTTTATTTTATAGGCACTGAGCAGTTTTTATTTAAATAACCCCACAACAATCTACAGGTCTATAGCACTGTGGTAGCTATTTTTCTCTTTCCTTTTTGAAGGATAGCACAGTGGTTACATGTACCAGATGGTAACATTTTATGCACATTGATCTGGGCTACTTCTGAAATAGCAACTGAATGTTAATGAGGGGTAGCTGAATCGCTAAACTGCTTCTTTGTATGTCCCTATGTATTAAACATGGTTTCTTATTTTGTGACTGATGGTCATACTAGGACCAGGATATCACACAGTGTGCATTTCTGTATTTAGATAACGTGAGCTGAATTTCACTGATAGAGGAAATCAGATCTCTATCAGACAACCATGGCTTAAAACAAGACTAATCTATAACACTTCCGAAAATTCCAATGATTAATTTTTAACTATTGCAGTTTGAACAGCTATGAAGAAATAGGCATACTACATAAAAAGTACAAATACTACTATTTTACCTACTTGCAGTGTATTATCTTCTGGAAGCAAAAATGCAGTTTTCCAGCTTATTTTACCTTACCTAGTAAACTATACCTATGATCAGACCTGGCTTTTCAGAAGGTTATTAATTTAAATCCCCTGCAAAGAACTCGTAACTCCAACCCTTAATACTGTTCTTCTATTAGGGCCAATAAGAAAAGCTCATTTAAGAGTAAATATACATAAGGGAAGAGGGAATTAGATGCTGTACACACAACCAAGCATGTGCACTGTAAATATAATTAAAAGAATGTCGAATCTTTCTATATATTGTCTGTATATTGAAATGCTTAGAAAAGAAAGATTTGAAGGAGTAACAAATTACTGACTGGATTTTGTCCCCTCTGATGCAACTTTGCCCCAGCTCCATTCTCCCCTCCACATGCCCCTAAAGTTTATCCTTCTGATATCTTTAAACAAATCAAGCTTTTAACGTAGGAATTTTGCAATGACTTGCCAAATTACTTAAAACACAGTGGTATTTCCACACACTATTCTTTCTCCTTTCTTTAAACTATCCCCACCTTAGCTTAGTAGGAGCTGAATCCTTTCTAGTACCATCATCACCTTAACTCACCTTCAGGTTTCTGCAAGGGCTCCTTTGCTAATCTCTCCAACCTGAATTTATTAATCTTTCATCATTATTCCCTTGACTGACACCTTTCCTTCACAAAAAAACTTACCAGTTAAGTATTCTCATCTTTTCTGGCCACACTGGTTCTTATTCTCTTTACCCTTTCTCAGAAGAACAAGGTCTCTTTCATGATACGTTTTTCCTATGAAAGTTACAAATTAAATAAAAAAAAAAAATCCCTGCTCTTAAATTTTGAAATTTTAAAAAATTCCCAATGAATGCCTCATAAAGGTTAACAATCTTAAAAAAAAATACTGAGAGATGAAGCACAGAGAGAGATAAGGGTGCATAAGACAACATCTCATCTGGTTATTTCCACTGCAGTATTAGAGGCAGATTAAATTGTGTAGGATGCCACACGATACATCTGTTACCCACTTTTTTAAAAATTAAAAACCCCCAAACTATATGTGACAACATATACAATTTGAGTCAATAATGTAATATTTAATTTAGTTAAATCATGTCAGGAAATGCAGGTGCATGAACACTTGTATCCATGCAGCCTTTGGCACATCATGTTTTTACTTATATGAGCATTACAAACAAAAGGATTTTAACAGTAAAATAAAGGCTTTTCATTGCCTAATCTCAATTTACAAAGAACTAATTTCTATTTCAGTCAATTAAAGATGGCTCAGACCACAGTGAAAATGCACTGTAGGAAACAAAAATGCCCATTTCAGCAAAACAATTAATTCTTCTGTTCTTAATGTATCAAATCCACAATAAGAACTAGCATTCCATATGAATCTGAAAGGCAAGTATTTCATGTACATACTTACATAGATTGATACATATCTATAGCTATAGCAAAAAGGATATGAATAACTCCTTCATCAACTCTGCAGGTGGAACTTTGCAATTGATCTTCCAGATGCACCAATTTCTCACTTATTGCTTCACATTTTTCTCCCAGCTCTGCAGAAAATATGAAGAACTCCTACAGAAAGTTGAAAAAGAAAAAAAAAAAAAAAAGGCATGTTTGCTGGTTGCACTTTTCTACATCAAATTTGCATCAAATAAAGAGAAAATACAATATTAGTGTGGGGATATGATGCTTTGCCTAACATTACCTAAAAGCAAATTCCCATTAAAGAGACAAAAAGCTGTTACTTTATAATAAATTGGTGATTTATATGAAATGGAATGAGTTTGTGGTCTCAGTCTACTTCCCAGCAAAAACAAGTCATGATCTCACTTTCAGTAGATGATTAAAGGGGTATAAAGACCAAACTGCTCTCCATCTTCCCCTGTTGACTCACCACAGCAGAGGAGGTCTCATGCTGACCGCACCATTTATGTTTCCAAATTTCAAGTTGTTCGTGTAAATATGATTTACACTTTTAGGTCACTTAAATATTTCAAGCAGCATCACTTTTTGTATCCCTTATAAACACAAAATGTACTTACATTTTTGAAGAAAAATTTGGCTAGAATACTTAGGGACTTTGTTCAACTGATCAAAGAAAATGCATCGAAGTCTTGGAGATTACAAGATGAAACCATGTTTTTTTACTGATTTATCATCAAATAAAATTTTCAAAAATAATGGTTCTCTATTTAGAATTTATATGGACAAATACTTCTTCCATTTTACACCAGTTTCAAAGTCCTTCCCTTAAGTTTTTTTCAGATACACTGCACAAGAATAATTTCTTTTACATTTTTCAGTTAATAATACTTTGAGAAATGACCTGAGTAAGCAGCAAATATGAAGAGGGGAAAAAAAATTAAATCAATCTGTGCAGCTCTGAGACAAGCCTTTCCTTTCCCTCCCATACCACCATAGTGCTGCCTTACAGTGAATGACAGGGGTTATTTGTAAGCAAAAGATTATGGTGCCAAAATGGAGTTCTGCTGGAGCCATGTTGAAAAAAAAATTGAGTAATTTATCAGCTGGAATCCAGAAAACTCGATTTTCTCTGAACCCAGTCCATGCACTCATCCATATGAGTGCATATATGACCATGGGGCCATATACAATTTACAGAAAGTTTTTCCTCTGCTAAAGAAAAAAAAGAAAATGTACTTGGGGTCCTTTGCAATGATTTGTTGCTGTAAGAGCAACCACCAGTGGTTGTTTAAGAAAAATCAAGTCTTCAGTTAAAGGGCTTCCAAATAAATAGTACCAATACTTGTTGGAACGCTGCCCATTGTGAAACAATCTGAGTTTTGGTAAACACGTTTACCAGACCTCATTTCTGTGCTATCCTTTTGCTTCGCATCACACAGTGCACAGGAGGAGTCAAATGTGAGAAGAGTTGTGCTTGCTGGGGCATCCTCTGTTACGGCACAGAGCTTTGACCCTCCTGCTTCCTGAGGGCCTCTGCCAGACATGGCTATCCAGCACATCGTACAGGTATGCAACCACCTGCAGCTCAAACCCTGGACGGGTGTGCTTGTTAGGAGAGGTGATGTTGCAAACACCAGCAGTTTGGACACAGAAGAGCACAACGCCCAAGTCCCTGTCTCTCTGCACAAGACCTGACATCTCCAGAAACATTACCAAATGTGAGAATCTACAGCAGCACTTCATAGAACTTACAGATGTGAAAACGGCCCACTGTTTTTAAAATGAGAACAGGGGAGGAGAAAGAAAACATTCTCCTTGCATATACAAGGAATGTCCTTATCTCACGATCAGGGACAGAAGATGAGGATAAATTTTCCATCCAGCAGCTACATTATTACTCAGTATACCAGCAGGACTCCATGTGCTGTTATGGAGCGAGATAACCCAGGGAATTTCTATCAACAGAAAGCTCTTAGTGAATCATTCTGTGACATGGACACAAGAATAGATGACAGTTGTCTAAAAGACCTTAGGTCTTAGGCTAAAAATGCCAGTAAACTGAAAAAAACTGAGTACTTTGAAACCACATCTAAAACTATGACCATGGATAGAGAATGATCCACCTTTGAAGACTGATTTTTCTCTAACAGTAATTACATGTAAGAAAATCAGGTCTTCACATAACTGCCATTTCTAACAGCAGCCTAATTTCTCTTTAACACAGCCATAATAGTGTAGGGATAAACTACTTCTGCATCTACATAACCCAGCAGCCTTTTTAGCTGAAATGAAAAGTTCCTCCAGTACTTTAGACCAGCATCACCTCACAGGAACTTAGTCGCACATGTTATGTGAAAAATGCAGGAGAATCATCACATAAATTACGATTTTCCAGAACTTAGAAATCTATATGAAAATGGAAAAAATATACACTGCTCTCAAAAATACACAATAATAATTCTAAGTATTCAAACAAGTCCACAGTTTCTGCCCCCAAGACTTTGTTTGAAAAAAGTTTGATAACCCAGAGAAGTAGATAGAAAAGATTTCTCTTAGTGCCTTTTATGCCTGGTAGCATCACTGGTAACATTATTATTTGACATTTGTCTGTGTAGGCAGGGAAACCACAGTCAGTGACATACAACTATTCAGAACAGCTCCCGGTTGGAAAGTGGCACTTTACACTGATCAACAATATCTCTGAGAGGGGAGTGGACTCTGCCTCAAGCTGAACATATTAATAAAATACAACTCATCCAGGCTTGTAGGTTATGTCAGTGCTACAAGCTTCTGTAGGTCTTAAGATTTCTTTGGTTATTTTTGCACTAGCAGCACTTTTAGGAAGCAGCTAGGAGAGATTGCAGGAGTCAGGAAAGAGCTGAGATGCAATATTGCTTTATGGATTTTTCTGTAAACAGGGAATGTAGCTGGTTGGGATTTTTTTTCCTCTAAATCCTCAAGCAAGTGAAAACAGCACAAATACAGATGTGAATTATTTTTTTAAGGTGAAATTCTTCTGCCTTTTCACACAAAGTAGAAATTCCCATGCTTTCCCAGAGATGTGAGAGTCTGATGCAAAAACCAGTAAGAACAGACAATGTTCCAGATGATGCATGGCTGGAACATCAGCATATTGCCTTAAGAGCAGAGGGAATGGCTTCTGGTTTAGTCTTCTGCATTTCATTTTACTCTTTTACAAGTTGTTTTAGTCACCTATGAGCAACAGCTCCTCAACAGCATTACTCAAGGAGAATGTTTGATCAGCTTTTCCAGTGCAAATACCTTCTGTGCTCTTGAATCTACTTCAGTTTTATACAGGAGAATCAGTATTGTAGTAGCTAGATTAATCTAATTCTATTATGGATTAGAGTCTATATTAGAATCTTGGGTCGTTGTGCTGAAAAGCAGGATTCACAGATAGATCCTTTAAATTCATTCTTCCTACAGAGGAACTTCTGTAAAAAGGCGTTGCCTTACTTCCAAGTAGCAATTCCAATAAGATACAAGCCTTAGGAGACCTGCAGAGTCAATGCCAGATTTATTTCACCTGCACTAAATTTTCTCTCCTATAACAGTTAAAATAATTCAAAATAACACAAATAACAACTACAAAATTTGCCCTTGCAGACAAATACTTCTCATTATGGCACAAGGTTTAGAACAGTGACCTACTGTTGGCAGAAGTGCTGCATGTTTACCCTTGGCCCTTGCAGAAGTTAATGGCAATTGTCAGCACTTGAAACTCCAAAACATCAGGCCAGGGTATCTCTTAAATAATTTCTAGAAACAAAACACAACCATCCATGTGTTTGCCCTGCTTGACCAGATGCTTCAGTCACATGTAGGCTAAGTGCACATGCCCCCAGATAAGGAGCTACACAGTCATGAGGTGTCCAAAGTGCAGGTGGAGGACGCATTCGTTCCTGCTCTGCATCCCAGATTTCCTGCCCCATATGCATTGTTCTGGGCAGAACAATTGCAGATGTGGAAGGCAACGTGGCCTCGGAGAAGAGGTCTAATCTCTGAGTTTGAAAATAATGCATGTTACTTATGACCAACATCATCATGGTAAGGTTGACCAGGAAGCAACCAGGGAACAATAAAGCCCGTTCTGTGACTTGCAGTGTGACCGAGCCTACTGTGACTGTCCTCAGCTGGTGTCTGTATACATGGCTCTTAGCAGCTGACAAGGAATTTTGTAGTTCTGGTGGCAGGGTACTGGCTCCAGGGCTAAACTGCCCTTGCCATGAGCAAGTCTTCCTCCTGAAAACTACTCTTGCTACAAACCAAGATGGTTACATTTCCTTTTACCCTTAAAAAGCACACACCGATAACTACTAGTTGTCCTATTTATCATTATGATTTATGTGGTTGAAGATTTTGCCTTTCAACCAGATTAGGATTTCTAAAACTTTTATTTCTCTTCCTTTCCTTCTTTTCTTCACTGTGTTCCTGCCTTCTACAGAGTGAGGTGTCCAAACCAGTGCCACAGTCCTCTCGAGGCTTTGGCATTCTCAGCTAAGCACAGTAATTATTTCTGTCTTACAACTGACATTCCCATTAATGAGGCTGCAAGTGACATTTGCCCTTTCTTCCAGCTCAATGAAGGTAATGAATCCCACTATATTTGCAGTCCACTATAACCCCAGATTCTTCTTCTGCAGTATTGTCACCTTAGCAGCTATTTACCATCGGTATACATAAATCAGACTCTTTTTCTCCGTCTTGTGTAATTTGCACCTGTCTTTTAACATATCCCTTTTTATTGATTTCAGGCTATTCTTTCAATCTATCAAGAGCATTTGGAATTCTAATCCTAATTGAAATTATGTTGACTGGCACATAAACTCCTGGCCTACCTCCTTTCTAAAGGCAAATACCACATCTGCCTTTTACCGATCCCCTGGGACTTCAAGCTTCCTCTAGGAGTTTTCAAAGAAGCTTGTTAATGGTTTGGAGATTGTTTTTCTTGGCTCCTATGCACTCAGAAAAAATTTCATCAGTCTAGCCTGACTTGAGTACATCTCATTTGCCTTAGGATCCTTTACTGTGTTTGCCTCTTGATACCTGGCAGCAAATACCAAGAGCACTACATATTTGGACATAGTTTATCATTTTTAGAAAGACCAAAAGTAATAAAAAAATAAAGAAGAAAAATTAATTCTGATCTCATTTCTTTTCTCATTCACCCTTCTTATTAGAAGACACACATGCTTTTTTTCACCTATCTCTTACACACAACCTAAACTCCTTGACATTTCACATCTTCTATTTACAGTAACTTAGTGTGCTTAGTGGTCTTGCTGCCTTCACTCTTACATGCTAAGTACTCTTTTAGAGTCATTCTTAGGAACATTTTTGTCCTTCCTTTTCAACACTCATTTGAGCTGCTGAAAAGCTGCTCACATAGATATGTAGTCTGTGACTCTGCTTGCTCTTTTTTACACCAAAATAAGATGGTGCTGTACTGTAAACCGGATGTCTTCAGGACAGTACCAAAGAAAATCTGCTGATTCCTCCTTCTACAGAGCTTGTCCCATGTAAACTAACTTGTTGCTTCTTCCCTGATTTTGTTTAGGTGAGTTTTTCTTTCATGGAGGTAGCTATCCACCTTTTCTTAGAAAAGGGATCAAGGTTGTTTCCCAGTTACTCTTGCTCTTGTCACCTTCCACTTACAGACCGCCAGCTCATTCCATCAGCCTGTTTATGTATATTTAGGAGACTTCAGCACTACAACACACTCCTCACTATCTCATATGCAACAATTCAGGCATAAAGCTTTCCAGACAGCTGTTTTGCAACTGTGGCCTACCTCCCTCCCACAATCACACACTTTTCCCACATTTCCTCTGCTCGCACTGATCCCCTTCCCTCTGCCACAGGGATACAACAACATATGGTAGTGTGAAATGACTCATCAGAATTACAGTGCAATACTGGCAATTGTTCCCTTCATTTATCTTCCATTACAGCTATGGAGGAGTGTCCTTGGAAAAGCATCTATGCAGGAATAGCGTTTTTCACTGCCTTCCAGCATCCTGCTGTAGGCTGACAGCAGTCTTCCCATTCTCATCCCTAGTAGACTGAAGATCTTCCCCAACTGCAGATTTCCTAAAACGAGAGCACACTACTGCACTGGCTTATTTAATTAAACTGGGACAATTCCAGTTCCTGCTGTGGGAGGATAAGGCTATTTAATGACTTACCAATAAAAATTCACAGTGGGTCAGGACTTCGAAAAAGAAACAAAAGCACCAAACTGTTTTCCAGTATCAACACCCTGCTGTGCAAGGAGTCAGCACAGCTGGGGATCATTTAGAGGTGGTTCCTAGTATACACTCCCATCTCTGCTCCTGAGTCACTAGGATGAAACAATCTGGAATGACTAACTGGGTGCTCTCCTGCAGACAGTGGGGAGACTGACAAGAAAGGATTAGGGGAACAGAGGATCAAAGGAACATTTAGGCAAAGCCTTGACATAGTACAGGATGCTGACAATTTCACAGAGCTTTTATAGAGCTGTCTACGAGTCAACATCAATCTATCTCTGGCAGCGTGGTAGAGCCTTTCTAGCATATTTCCACTTCCTTTATTTGTATCATTGCTTTCTATTATCTTTATACACTATCTTCCCCCCTCAAAACTTCAAAAGAGCAAAGTTACTCCACTTCTGAGGACTCTAAGATATTAAGCTCTTGGAGAATACTTCCACAGTGGCAGCCCTGTGAGCTCTGGTGCCCTCAGTATTTTGCCCTGATGGAAGTAAGGCTTTTTGCTACCTTTATCCTGTGGAACCGCCTCCCCTATTTCATGTCATCTGTGGACACAAGCACCTGAACAGTTTTGCTTTAATTCATAGCAAAGTTCATTGATCAGAAAGGCCATTTGCATTTTCTGCAAAGTTCACCTTCCTTCGCAAGGCTTCCTTGTTTTCATTTATGCTGAACTCACACACAGCCAAACAGTCTGTCCTAGGCGTGCTCTGATGTCACATTCTCCCCGAACACAAGGTCAACAATCTGAATTTGGTCTTGCAATATCTTGTATCTTTCCTACAGAATTCCAGTCGAACTAGTCTTTGGACTCACTGGTGGGAATCTAAAGAAATGCCTCATCTGAATAGTTATCCTAAACTGCAGTATTTGTGTATTTAATATTTGCTTGGCTGATCACTTGTCACTTGTATTTGACAGGTGGCATGTATGCTATTATGGAAGGTGAACTGGGGGTTACTTGTTCGTGTTATTTATTTGCTGGTTGGACACAATGCTTGGATATTAAATTTCCTTTTTAAGTAAGTTGCAACCCAAGGTATACTGACGTAAAAATGGGCCAAACTAAAACAGTACAGCTATTAGAACCAGTATAACTCTTCTTACATATATATTACCGAAACTCTTAGTTTGTAAGTAGGTGGATTTTTGTATGTAAGCAGATTTTTCTCATAGGAAATGCATCTCATGCTACTTAATTATCCTAGCCTTCTTAAAGACATGGACTAGGATGTGACATATTTTTGTTTATAAAAATAATGTAAAATTACAAACATCCAGTATTTTTATTTAGATGAAATTCCTATTACCCTGTATTCTGCCACAGTCTGTATGCTTTTATACTTCAAAAGTAAATTGAAAGGTATTTTTAAATGGTACACAAGAAAACAGGCTAAGCATTAAGACAGTGCTACAGTAAGGCTGGCTAAATATTATTGATCCTACTTTTCCCAAACATATTCTGTTTGTTGGTATGTGTTAAAAATATTAGTACAGGATTTAACTAAAAACTCCCTGAAATACTCAGAAACTTTGCTGAGAAACTTGGCTGTTATTTTCAATGGGGAAAAAAAAAAAAAAAAAAGGAATGGGACCACTCTCGTTGTGATTGTGTTGCTTTCCTACGTGTTCACACACTCTCTAGCAATTTTTACCCCAAGGTAACTCTATAAAACAAGTGTCATTAATTCTAATTGAGACAAAGGAAAGTCTGTACAATCCCACCACTTTATATTGCCTAGGAAACACTTACCTCAGATAAATGACCCTCTGTTCCAAATGAAAAGTCTTCCATAACCTATTAGAGATAAATTATTAAGTATGTAGTAGATACATGCTATATAAACAGTACAATTTCAATATAACTTATAAAAACCATATAGCACAATAAAATTTATATAAGCTGAACAACTGGATCGATTTGCTCCACATGCATGAAAGATTTAAACTGCATTTGTAATGGAGCAGTGGCAGACACCCAATCTTTAAAACTGTATTTGAATACATTTTATTAAAGTCTGTCTTTGGCTTCTCAGTTAAAATGCGCATGGAATACTGCCTCTAAAACAGAAGAACTAACTATAGACTGAAACAAACTTTTCTGTGAAGCTTTTGAAGATCTGTATACCATTCAAGAGTCTACAGAAGTATTTCTGGCATAAACCCTGTACATGATTTTGCTCAGGAGAAATGAGAGACTCCAGTGATGTTTTCTATTGGTAACATGTGCTAACTATAGTCAGTTCCTCTTTTATTTCATCTGTGAAGTCTGTAAGAAATCAGCCATTGGTTGGCCGAGGAACGAAGAAATTTGATGTTAACATTACTGGAAAATCATTAAAACTTATCACATATTACAGTATTGATAATCTTTATATAAACTGAGATAAGTGTATTGCTTTGGTAGGGCGGTACTTGGTATCAGAGGTAGGTATACAAATACATTAAAAAGTGCAAAATCATTAATCTGCCATAAATTCATCATTGTTACTGGATACTATTTTCAGTAATCAATCTGAAAAAAAGGTAGCTCAGATTTCTTTTACCTGTAATATTAATCTTCTGATTATATTTTTACTGCAAAATACACGTAAGCTTTAAGCCTACTGCAATGCTACAACCCCCTAGCTAAAGAGGTTTTCACTACACCACAGTATCAGATGCAGCTGAGGGGCATCGTGCTGCACAACTACGCACGTGAGTGTACAACGATGATCTGACCGCTGTGTACAAGCCAGCTGCCTGCTGTTACTGAAATCCTTTCCAGCTTGGATCAATACAAAAAACACAGAAATGCTGACTTTCAGTAATGCTTAATGCTGACATTTAAAACTAAGATTAAATTTTAAGTTTCCAAGCTATTTTCAAAGCTTCACAAATACAGAATTTAATTAAAACTCAAATGAATGCACAGTTTGTTTAGTTTTTGAAAGGCTTTGTCCTTTACGTATTGCACATTTACCTCCTGGACCACAAGCTATCTCAGTGCATAGCAATGAGTTACAGCCTGCTCACAAAGGCTTTCTTGACGCTTGCTATCACTAAATTCCGAAAAACGTTGTATTATGTCCCGTGATAGCTTCTTTTTAATGAGAAACACCACAGTAAATATTATTATTTTTTCATAGTTTTTCAAGGTATCACTTAGAACACTTAGTACATTTTAAAAAGTCAATTACATGAAGGCTTTACAATTATAGAACATCTTTCCAACACCAGCGTGATCTTCAAAAGACCCCAAAGCATCATCCCAGATGTCAAAAATTAAGTATGCAGAGATGAAGAAAAGATAGCAGCCCTCACCCTTATCCCTGTTCTCTACTCTTTTATGATGAAAAAGGGAGAAGCAATCTACAAAGAATTCTCTGGGGAAACTACCAAAAATGCTGACTTACAAAAGGTAAAACTACTAAATTTTGGATTTTACCTTGTAACTTTAATCACCTCAATTTTCTTGAAATCTAGTAGGTGTTTCTTTCCTTCATAGTGATTAAGAGGGAGCACTGCACAGCATGCCAGAGAGCAGAAGAAGAAGAAAAAAGGATAGGTCAGGAACTCAAGCCTGCAGGTGCACACATACCCATGTTCATCAAGTTACTTGCTGTTAGGAAGGTCCCAGCACACACTCATCTCTCAGTTTATTAGTTATCATTGGAGTTTCTGCTGTTATAAAAAGCTTTTGCTTACATGTACGTTATCAACAAGCAAAAAATAAAGCAAGTTATCATAAGGAGAGGAACAAGCAGGCATTGTTTGAAGAAAAATGAAATGTTACTGTATATTTTAGAAATCGCAGAGATATGTATCTATGTAGTAATGATCATAGCAATTTCTACCTCACTCACATATCACCCAGGCAAAATAATTTGCAGTTTAGAAGTATGGAACATTTCTGGGATGAACACTTGAACCTATCTTTAATTCCTCAGAGACTTAGGAGAAAAAATAGTCACAAAAAGACAAACTACAACTGCAATGATAGGGTACCTAATTTCATCAATATAGCTACCAGCTGGAAAGTATATTCTTATATGAAAATTCAATAATCTGTATCAAATAAATTAGACAAGCTGACTTTCGCATGACTGAGGGTAGTAATATTGTCTACAACTTTACTTCAGAATTTTTTTAATACTATAGTCTAATGAGTGGTCTGTAACTGAGAGAAATACATCTTATTTTTTAAGTAACTCAGGGTGTTTCACAGGATGATTTTTGCTGACCCCACTTTATTTAGTTCTGACCGAGACATTAGTAATGATGCTTCAACAAGCTGAGCTGTAAAAGCATGTGATTGTCTTCCCTGGTTAACAGTCAGTGTTATAAAGGAACCCTAATTTACGGAATTATTTTGGGATGCCAGTCTACCACATAAAAACTGGGAAAAAAACCCCAGCAGTCTTAGAAAACACAGTTATGAAAACTATAAAATAACTGTTGACAGTTAATAAACCTGTGCTCATATGACAGTAAAATATGTAACTCTCAAAGAATTTATACGTTACATATTTTTAAACCAGAACATGTAATATTTTCTGATCTAGTGGGGATATTTAATTAAAAATGATACATGGCCCTTCTGCAAAGCAGTGTCTGAGGATCTAAGGACAGGGTTCTTTCGATTCATCTATCTTGCTTTTCTTATAATTGTTATGTCCCTTACTTGGTTTTTTGCTTTCTAATGAAACATATACAGTAAGATAGAGTTATATGCAAGAACACTGTTTATAGTACACATTAACAAAACCAATATCCACCCAACACTAATGTTTAGCTAGATATGACACAGTAAATAACTGGAGAGCTTCATTTATAGCATTTCACTGTAAAGTATATCAATCACTTGGGAATGAAATGTGCCTTCCAAGGCATATATGTATGTATGCTATCACTATAGCCTTTCCTATGGTGTTTTGAAATAGGAAATTCAGTACCCTTTAAATACAAAGAACACCACTTTTTCCTTCTACTTCAGTGACCAACGGTGCTCTCTCGAAATTCCCCAATGGGGAACAGAGGTTGTGACACAGCTGAAGAGATTAGTCATTTCTCCTAGTTTTGGCCAGGACAGGGTTAATTTTTTACAGTGGCCAGGAAGAGAGCATGATCAGACCCTAATTACTGGTCATCCAACACCATCTCAGGGCTGGAGTAAGGGACTTGCTCTCTCGTTTTCTGGGGGAGGGGAAGACAGGTGTGGTGCGGAAGAGCGAGTTGGCATTTTGTTGTTTTTAACGTATAAATTGTTTCTTTGTCTTATACCTTTTGTTATTGATATTGTTGCTGTTACTGTTCCTTATCTCAACCTCTAATTTTCACCTTTTTGGACCTCCAATTCTCAACCTCACCCCCAGAACAGGAAGGGTGAGGAGTTAGGGGGGAAAGGAGCTAGTGAGCAGCTTCCAGTTTGAGGGAGTCTCATTTGGGGCGGGGCACTAAAGTGGGGAGTGCCACTCCTAAACCATGACATTATTCTAGAAACATGGCAACCAAAGCAAGCTGCTCCTCTCACAGAGACACCAGAGGCTTGTTAAATAATATCAAACCAAGTATTTTGACAAATTCAAGCTTCTCTATTAGATATTCTCACTTGCTTATAAATGGCTATAAAAAGGTTCCCTACTAATGGACAATGGTAAGATTTTCCATAAAATTCCTACGTAATGGCTAATTTTAGAGAATAAGCACCACACCACTGTTTTTTGTGAGTTTTTTTGGCCACAAATACTAAATTGATTTTTAAATAAAATAATACACTATCACATAATGGAGCACTCAAATGTTTCAGAAGTGGTTTGTTTTTCAACTAAGTCCATTTACAAATCAAGGCATATTCTCTTTTGTACTTCAACACAATCAAAACTGTAAGTTAGAATGATTTGTGTCAGAGTTTTTTGTTTGCTTTTATATTCTGCCTTGTGATGAACTAATAAGAGACGTTAGGGATGTTATTCTGCTATAGCTCTTCTCTAAATGTTTAGATGCTGCCTGTCAATCCTACTGACATCCAATCAGTTTTACAACCTAAAGCATTCTTTTATGGGTAAAACTTCAATGCCCCACAACAAAGAAAAAAATCTGAGCTTCTAAAAGTATAACAGCAGGCAGCCCAGACCTAATTCCAGAGCCAGAATACAGTCGGTATGTTGGAGGGGTTTATGGTTGCAATGGGTTGCAGTCATTACTGATGCATAACTTTGCCTCAATGGTCAAAGCTGCAGGCAGCACCAAACCTGTAGAAAGCTGACTAAGTCATGATAAAACAGAGCTCTGTTGCTCAACTCCATCTAAAAGCTGGACAGCACATGACCAGTCTCATATCAGCAAAACTGCTTCATTTTTTTTCTTTCATCAGCCATAGGAGTGCTGTGGAAACAGATGAAGGAGTACCTCCACAAAGCCTTCCCTGAAGGACATTTTTACACATCAGCTTCTGAATGATTTTGGCACATTCTCAAAATGGAGTTTATTCAGGATACTGTGATAGGCCAGATCCCAGGCAAAGACATTTATACCACAAAGTTTAAGCAGTTAGATGAAGAGCTGAAGTTAGTCTGTAGTCTTCCTAAGTTCCCTCCGTGGCTGATAGAGGCGGGGAGGAAAAAAGAGAAAGGCAAGTTCAAAAGGAGGAGTTTACTGGAAACATACACTTTCCTCTTCCATTTGAGATGTGGGGAACCTGTGCCTTGACTCCTGCACATCTCTCCAGAACCAGAGGTCACCTAACTTCAGCCACCCAGATGTCTCTCTAGGACAGCAAGGTTGATTTTCAGGGAAAGGATCTGGACTTGCAGGGGTGAAACAGGTGATAATCTACAGTACAGATCTCAAGAGGGCTACAGAAACAGTCACAATTCCCTAAACCCTCCAGACCTTCTAAGGTGCACTTTTGAAAAGAGAGTGCAATATTCCATAACCAACAGAACTCCTCATATTACGTCAGCAGACTCATCAGAAATATGATAAGGGAGGGGTACAGGTGGAATCAAAGCCACAGCTGACCATTTCTAATAAAAACATTGTCTATGTGGAGTCAGTCAGTAAACCATTTTCCTTGGGAAAAGACTGAAAGAACTACTGAAGCCCAATATAAAAACAGAATTTTACTAACAAGAGGAGATTTTACAGTAAGGTAAGCATCTGCTTTCCACTAAGTCTCAGCCAGGATGAACGCAAAATTAGGCATCACATTTCAAAGCAACGCATAGTTCAATGGCTCTTAACATCAAATGCAATTAGGCACACTTTAGATTTTTGTCAACTAAATTCCATGGTAATAAAACTAACGGCTCCTGTCGGGGGGTCTTTTTGTCACAGTGGTGCTGTTGGGTTGATGAAGCTTTTTTAACAGCTTGTTTACCTTGGCAATAAGTTAAAGGACTATTAGACAGTTGTACATTTTTCAGGCAGGGATGGCATTCCACATCAGAACATGAAAACTTAAAAGAAATTTGTCAAACCTTTTAAGCTCATGATTTTTTTCCTCCTTTTAGTATTTGTTGGATGCTGTAAGCCTATTAGCATCTGAGCTCTGAAGCCTTTGACCATTTCACTAAGGGAGGAAAAAATTTACTCTCTCCTCCAGATCCAAGCTAAGAAGTCAGCAGAACCAACTCCAAGTGAAACTTGTCAGTGATACGAGGAATACTGGATAATTTCAGTTAAATACTTAATAGTTTTTCCTTTATATCCTGATGTACATTCTATATTTATTGCCTGAATAATTTCTACAGTTTAAAAAGACTGATGGTAAAAGGAAAAAGGGTTGAAGGGTTTCTGAGAAGCTAATAAGCTATTTTATTTATGTCTCAGATAGGAGGCCAGATGTTAAGTTCATACTTAACCTGCCCTGCTGACCCGTCACCAAAATTCAACTCTTCCTCTCAAAAGGAAAACCAGTAGTATCACTTGAAATGCAGTGGTAAACTATTTCAGATACCTTTTTCAGCTCACTGTGTCTGTGGCAGGAAACAGTACCCCACTCTGCGCCCTTTAGAAAGTGACCTTCCTTTCTTTTTTCAGAGTCAGGTGGGCCATCAGCAGTTATCTCCATCTCCTGCATTTGGTTCTCTTCTTCCTCAAAAACACAGCAACTGGTTTCTTTCAGCTGAAACCCTTGGATCAACAGCTGACATGCCTCCAAGTCAGCTTCCCACACTCTTTGGAGCAGCTGGCTCCCGCAGCTGAAATGAAAGCCAAAAGAAAATAAAACTGCAGTTCAGGGAAAATAGTTGCTATTTCAAGTAACATTTGGGCTAACTGCTTATTATTAGACAGAAAAATAAAAACAAAAACAAACAAACAAAAAACCCAACAGTGCCTCAAATACCCCCACACGGATAACGAATGCTATATAAAACTGAAAAGCAGTAAAATTATTGCCTTATTACAAAGCCAATGACATAAAACCACCTTTGTGCTAAGATGTTGTTTCCAACAGTATGGCATACACTGGTTCCATGTGACTTTCTCCTGTTTGGGCACAGGTCCAGGAGTCTTGTGATCATAACCTGAGCTTCCTTCATGCTACCAGATATATTTTCAATCCATTATCATCTCTCAGACATGTCAGTGTACATTACAAATACTGCTCCAAGAGTTATATTCACCTGAAGTAAATGGGAATTCTACGCATAGATAGTTTTTCAGAACAAGACACTGAATACTAACATCACACTGTTTGTAAGTGATGTGGTCACATCTCCATTTAATACCTGTTGTCTCTACGGAACCAGAAGATTTAGGTTGCCTACTAAAATATAGCAGATCAGTGGCAGAGCCTGGGATGGGACTCAGAAGCAATAACTCCCATGGCAATACACACTGCCAGACAGATACAAATGCTAATATCTAATAACATTTCCAATAATATTTTTTCACAATTCTTTTTCAAATTATATAATTTACTATATATATATAATTGTGAGCAATTTTAAATCACTAAAAGAGGAAAAATAACCATTTGATTTTAACTTTTCAGACTAAATTAAATACCAGCTTATCTTCTATGTGAAGGAAGCATAAAGGAGATGCACTGCTCACAATAAATTCAATAATCTAACAAAGGTAAGTTTTGAACTCCACAAATTCTACATGATACCAAGCTGTAAAAATCACACAGCAATATACAGAGAATGAGAGCAAAATTAAGAGTCAGAAGCTGAGCTATTTGATCTGTGCTTAGAGTCAGCATATATGTTTATTGAAAGCATAATGGAGCATGGGGTCCACAAATTATCTCCCCCAAGGAGTTCAGAATATCACTAATCAGAATGGGAAAAATTCTTCACCGGATTACATGTCTGTGCTCCATCCAGGTAGCATTTCACTTAGCAGGACAGAAAAATAAAATACCCCCCACTGTTTCTTTACTTGTCAGTCACAATATCATGGTTACAAAATCAAAATATTTCCCTGCAGACATACATAAGCCTATTTACTTGCTTTTTGAAAATGCTTGTTTGCATCTTTATATGGATTATTATGAAAGGTTAAAAAAATACTCTAGAGACCTAAATCACAATTTCCAGTGGATAGTTTGTTTTGGCTATTTAATTTAATGAAGAGCACTATTGACAAAATTAGGGCAGAGATGTGATGTATGCCATATTCAGAGTGGAGAAGATGAACAGCATATGTAAAAGTACAGCATAATGATGCCTAGGCTGCTCTTATTCAGCCACAACTCAGCTCACTGGTCAGTGTGGTTTTGACTGTATCTAAGTTTTACACACATTTTAGTAATCGGCAATTACTGAACACAAGGCTAACAGATTGCTTTTATTTGAAGGCCCTCTTTGTTTTATCATGGTATCTGTAAAATTGTGATTTATCTCGAGCTAAGATGCTAAGATGTTATGCTGAACTTTTCAACTGAAATCAGTGAATGCACATACACTTGGATACTCCAAACATATCTAAGCCAACCTATCAAGCTCCATCTTTTAGTCTGTATTTTGGAATTCAGTGCCTTGAAGTATTTTTCAAACACACTTTTTGAATGAAAATTACTTGAAAGTTGCAAATAGCTGACACAGACACACATACCAAATGATTATTAAAAATTGTGCTGACCCCAGCACGCAAAAAACTTTAGCTTTTACATCAGGTGTAAAATTAAACTCAATTGAATTCCAAAGTTTGGTTTATTCATGTTCAATTCATGCTAAAAGTACATTTGCAGTCTCCATGAAGCCTCCATTGTGGCTGTACTGAACACAGTGAGATTTTTCAGGTATGCAACTTTTCAAAATGATGGATCAAGTCTGGATCAGATTTTATATTATTCCTTTACTTACAAATATTTTATGATATATCAGCCTCTAGGTTTTATGCACCTGTTTCTCAGGACAACCTTTAAGTTTCAAACAAGCAAGAGCTAGGATACAGATGAAGACATTCAAAGGAACACAGTGAACATGGCATGTTATTTACAATGCAATAGTTTAATTAGTTACACAAGCAACTAATTATTCTAATTGGTGTCAAGAATACTTAGGTATCACAGCGGTATCACATTTTAAGGATTTGGATGAGGCCAATGAAACATGTCATCAGATATACAAGATCTCCATCCCTCCATAAAGGACTCACATAAGAAAGACAAGAGATGCCAGTAGAAGAACACAATGGGCAAGTGATTGACACCAATGTGGTTTAACATCTGCAGACAAAATGTCAGTCTTTTGATACTAAAAGAAAAAAAAAAAAGTAAAAGATTGTGAGCAGTCCTGATATTGGAGGCTACGAATTAGACTTGATGGGACAGAACAGAGGGAGTCAATGGAGAAAAACAAAGTGAAATGAACAAAAGACAGAAATGCTGACTTTGAATGAATGAGAGCAGGGCAAGGGGCAAGACTGCTTTTGTCAAGTCACGGCCAGGGAAATGGATGTCAAAGTAAGTGAGATGCAAGACTCAACATGAGTAATTTTTTAGCTGCATGGATAGCTGCGACAGGTCTTATCTCAAGGATACTGTGCAGAGAGAATGTACAAGAGCAGGCCTAAGCTGACTTGAAGAATGGCTAAAACATCCACAGTAACAAAAAATACACAGCAGAAAGAATTCTGTATTAAGTCAAGTTGATGATGATGAAAGAGCTGTCAAAGAACAGAGCTGTTTATGGACAGGAGGAAATTAATATGGAACAGAGAGATTTATCCTTGAGTTTTCTTCATAAAGTGGCAATTGACATTGTAATTGCCCCCTGCTTTCACCAAGTCCCACGCAGTTTTCTAAGAAGAGCCATAAGAGACCTGAGGGTAAAAGGAAACTAGGGGATATCTTCAATCTACTTATGATGTTGGGTGAAATTCATGTCTAGAGACATATCCAGCAAGGATTCTCTCTTTCTTGAAGTCCAAAGAACATTGCTCCTCTGTCTTTTTCACAAGATTCTGGGAGATATCAGTGGGGGCTCTCTCTATGGCTCTCAGCACAACATTATTCTAAAGCTATTTATAGTGCAAACTGGAACTAAAAGAACATGACTTTTCTATTGAGGGCTCTGTATATATACAAAAGGCACATTCAGTTCCTGAACATTATAGTCTAAATGAAAACATGCCCATATAAAAATAGTCAAAAGATTTTATATTAAACCCTAAGGAAAAAAAAAAGACCAAACCAAAACAGAATAAAGTCTCCCAAAACATCCTCAAAAGCAAATTGGAATCAACACAGGAAGATGTCACTACTCGTAAATCTCATCACCTACAGTTTTCAGGAATGTCCCTTAGTGAGTGAATTGTTAAAAGTGGTTTGTAACACTGTGAGGTCAGCACTGTGTGTTGATAAGATGATGTTGCTTATTTTAAGGGAAATCCGCGTAAGAACGCACACATTGAAAGCCAGGAGAGTGAGATTGAAGCTAAAAGGTTATATAGTAAGACATCTATTTAGAAAATGCATAATCAAAAACTGACTTAAGAGGTGAGATTAGCCATCACTAAGAAGGGATACCCTAGACAACCTCCTTCTAACAGGTGAGCCACAATAAGTGTGAATTCAGGAAACCATGTACTTACCTTTTCCCAGTACATGGCACATATATTTACTCTACATTCACTGACCCTAAAGGCAGTTTTCTCCAACAAACAAACAAACAAACAAAATGCAAATGAAGTGCAACAAAAATAGTCAGGCAAAAGAACAGGGATTTTCATTATGACAATTAAAATGATTGGAAAGTTTTGAGGCTTGGAGAAAATCACAATATGAATCAAAAGACTTTGTTCTATATTCCCATTCTTTATTGAACTATTGTACACACTAAAGAAAGTTTCTCTATATTTTAGTCACTCACTTCTATTTATATTTTTCACCAGAGGGAAGGAATGAGCTCTTCTTACTAAACATTTAGTTATGTCTTTGTTGCCTTTCTTAAGGCAATAGCCACACAGTGAACAAGAAAGGCAAGCAAAAGAAAGTATTCAGTAATAATAAGCTCTCAGCTTGTTATGATGAACTTAAAAAAGAGAAGAAGGTGTAGGAAAAGGACAAAGAAAACCTGGACTCTGCACAAACAGCAAAACATTTTTTTCTCTTGGCCAGCACGCTAGAAAGTCACCTTTCCTAAACATCGGAAATCAACACTTTTTTTTTTTTTTCCTTCTTGTGAGTCTCTCTAATCCTATAAACACCTTCAATATAACCTCAATTTCACAATTCAATTCCTTGGATTGTGGCTTTCCTCTCCATTCTCCTCGGGAGCCGAAAATCTCATGAATTGACTTCATATCATTCCAATCACATGATTGTCCCCCAGTGAGGGAGACATTTTTCCTACTCCCTTATTTCAAAGCTCACTGATAACACTCGTTTGCTGCTCAGCACTATTGTCGCACTTCTCCAGAAGAAGACAAAACTTGCTCCCAGAAGCATATTCCACATATTCCCTGTCAGATGACAACCCACTCCATCATCTACCTTGAAGACTAGCTAAAACTCCCAGGCAAAGTCTGAAGCTAGCAGTACTTTTCTCTGGCATAAGCAATTTGCTCCTCTGACCTTGCCTTCATCCTTATAAAACATACAATATCCAGAAAACAACAAGTAGCTGACCCTCTTAAAATGTGATGTTTTGCCTAGTAGAGAATATTCTGAACCAGAATCACTAAAAATCAAGAAAGCAATCCTCACAATCCCCATCTAGCTTCTAGACTTTCACATCTTCAACAC